ATGTAAAATAGATTTTCATCTATAATTAACGTCTTTCTATGCTTTTAAGCAAATTCAAATAGTCGTCATATTTTCGATGTTGATCATCTATACACTCCTTACAAAACATGACAGGGTACACGCAGTATTTTTCGCAACTTGATTATGCTTAGCGTCACAATGTGTGACCCATGTGTAAGCGAATGCTCTTCAGTGACATCAGCTTCTCAATACACATAGTTGAAGCAGTGAACGAATCCAGCAGATGATTAAGCCAAAGAAAGCATATGTGTCATTAATCATCGTCACTAAGCCTGGTTCGGTCATTAGGTAAATTGAAAGCACTCAAACTGAACGAAATAAATCTATTTTCGTCATTGGGATCGGAAACTGCAACTTTCTCTTTGTGCGTCCGATGCTTTATGAATTCAGCCACGCGGTAATGTCCTTCCCCGTCCACTTTGTTCGCCTTAACCACTCGTCCATGACTGCATGCATCGTCCACTTTGTTGTTTATTTCAGTATGTTCTGAGTAACAGCCACATTTGTCTTGTCCCTGCCTGCATTCTTGAGTGGCTGCACATGCCAGGACGAGCAGCGTCCACCAGCGTGTCCAATCCGAGCACTATGACCATGACACGCGCCATGCATCACACGCACACAACTTCACTTCCTCTGGTGTCTCTGGTGGCATTCACATACTTAATGCCTTAGGCTAGCCTGTGAGGGTTTATTGGTCAGCTGCCGCCTCAGCCAAAGGTCACGTGCTACGTGACGTCTTCTGACGACTTAGTTGTATGAACAGTGCGAGTTAGCACTTCCAAGGGGTAGTCGTAGAGAAATACTTAATGAAGTGGACGGGGAAGTGGCTTCCATCACAACTCAATTGGTAAAATATCAGATGCGTAATTCGAAGGTTCTGGATTAGAATAATTTTTCTTCCACTTTAACTCGCCTATTACACTGCAGTCAAATACAATTAATGTACCTCTGCTTTTTTCAGCCCAATGCTCTCTTAGATACATTTGATTTCGGGGTACCATTAGAAACGAGCCCCTCGAAGAAGTACCCTCTTTGAGATAGATGAGTGGGCTGATTATGGCAGCAAATGACACTAGATAATGTTATTCTCTGTATTCTTACCTCGTGAATTCATTAGGAAAATACCATAACCAACGTTGTCTTTTGCACCCTCGTCCTAAATTTAGTCGCATACAGAGCTCTTAGCAAAGGCTTCAGTGACATACTGACGAAAATTTATTTGAATGTAATAGGGTGCCCGTAAAAAACTTTTATCTATATGTTTGAGTGAACAGGTACTTTTATCAAAACTTTGCCACGTTAGTGTTCTCTGTTTTGCTCTCTGTTTAGTCGGAAGATCATAAAATTACTTCTATAAGTAATTTTCATTGGTTCAAGATTCCTTTGTAAAGCCAAAATAATAAACCGAAAAAATCATCAGTTTCATTACCCTGTTTCTTGGAGTTGCAAGAAGAAAAAAATTTAATAGGGCGTTTGGTTTTTTTCACGTGGTTGTCATGAATGTGTCACCCTAGCAAATGGCGACTGCTCTTGGGATGCACCCCGGCTTAACGTCCTTCGAATGAGTTCCTGGATGAAGGGATTAAGCGGTGCGACGAAGTGGCTGGTGGATACCAGGCGCGATTGTCGCAGGGGACATGGCTTGCTGGGGGGAAATTAACTTCTCAAACTAAGCTGGCAGACTTTTGTCGGTTTCAGGCACACACCAGCCTCGGGCAGTTACAACTCGTGAAGCTCGAGGAGGCAATCTTCTTCGAGTGGATGACTGCGTTATTTGTTTCTCTCTTTCACGGAAGTCACTGCCATTAAATGCCACGCATAATGAGCCTCGTGTCGCGTTTATTGCTAAGGTAGAAATCGAAGGGCGCTAAAGCTGCTCCTTCAACAGCAGATCGTGATAGCATAATCGGGCCTCATGCGCGTCGTCTTCGGAATTGCTAGCTTGCTTCAGTTCTCGGCGCATGCCTCAACCATGCCTAAGAAAACAAATGACTGCGCGCATAACAATGGCCGTTTCAAACAATCTTAGAATGCATGCTGCAAGCACAGTTGTTAATTGCAAACTACACCATAATTATTTTTTTGCGAATCAGCGAATGGCCCACTACGCATTCGTAGGAAAACACACGAGCCTACACAGCTGTTGACATAGTTGATGGCCATGATGACTAAATGTCTGTGCACTTTGTAATAAATGGGCATTTAAACACCCACTCATTCATAACTTTATCGTTGTGACGCCTGCACTATTCTACGCTTTTTCCACGTTATATATGATGCAATAAGAAGAGTCCTTCCACTATATGACATTCATATAGGGTTTTCAAGTCGGCTTCAACAAACACTATGACTTTGTGGTAGAACACCTGCTTGCCACGCAGATGGCCTGGCTTTAGATCCTCATTTTAACAAGACTGTTGGCCTGGTTGATACTTTCCTATTTACTAGTTTTAGACGAGAAATAACGTATGCACAGAGCCTCCCTTTGACCCTGACGTTTGAATTCTCACTTGGACCCCGAAATTTTTATTAATTCTTTTATTTGTAACTTCCTTGATTTTTCGTCAATGGGCAAGATAATAAGTTTTTTCTCACAACCAACAACCCCAACGTCAAAACCGACGCCGAAATTTCTTCAAAAGCAGCTCTTTGATGCTCTCGCGTCAAAATCCTTCTGGCACAGATGAACAATAATTGTCGAGGCAAGCTGCAGGGAGCCTTTCTACAAGCTATCTTATCGTTCATTGGTATAATTCGTGGCAGCCAGTTACAATGAAAACAACTTTAATTAAAGGGGTTCATAAATACGGTAGTGTCGGAGGCCAAGGAGTCAAAGAACATTTCTGCAGGCTCCACTTGATGACTTTGTGAAGCGTGCAATGATGCAACTTTTAAGTGTTTTATCAACGAGTGGACCAATCAGTATAGCTTATAGTCGGCAGAGACCACTACAAAACTTCAAATATGAAATCATGGATTCAAAACAAGAAGAGACCTTCTTGTTTTAGCCCCAGCTATTGAACTGCACGTGTCTTGTGTGCGTCGTAATCCACTTGTCCAGCTTTGTTTCGATGTGTATTGCATGCGTGGGATTCTTTGTTTGACGACAATAAAAAGTTTGAGTTTTTTTCATTCACTCTTCTAGTCTTTAATTCAGTTCAGGTACATATGTACACGTGCGTCTATGTGTGTGGCTGTATATTCATTCCAAATGAACGATGCCATGGCTTTAACATGCGCCATATTGGGCCTATTTTATGCCCACTGCTGCATGAACTCATTTACTAATAAAGGCAGTTCCTAAGTTTTGATATCACAAGCCTGGAGAAGAACAATGCAGAATTTTTTTTCTGAAACGATCTGCATATGCACTTGAGCTAGCTCATCAAGTTTTGGCTTATTAGTGCAAAATGAGCTGTGCCAGAATTTGCACCTGTGTAGTTACTTACCTTCCCACTTTGCAGAAATAGTTTATCCAGAAGTTAAAAGATGTGGCTGATCCCTTTTTTAGGAATTGGTATAACAAAAAATGAAAAATGTTTTTACATGGCCAATTAAACGTTTCTTAGACCGTTTATTGCGCACTCTGTCGCCACAAGGGCAAAGAAATGAATTCTATAGCAAAAAAATTGCTACGCCATGCGAGGAATAGCAAGCAGCTCGAAATTTTCAACTCGCACTTTAAACGGCAAGCCCGCACGAAATGACCATACACAGGACGAGTGCCGATTAGCAACTTTCACAGCTCGACACCTAAGGCGCGCATTTCAAACTGAAAGGAAGACGCATGAAACGAATTCACAAATATACACAGGACAAGCGCGAGCAACTGTCACAACTTCTACAACTTCGTGTGTGAGCCACGTGCTTCTTTTGCGAACGTGACCCCAGCAGCGAGTGAAGTGACCTTCGTTCTCTCCTGAATCACGAGTCTGATCAGCGCGCACGCAGCAGACGTGGAGGCGGCGCTCTCCTAAACGCGTGAGGCGACAAACTTCACAGTGGACCCAAGGCGTACCTTTGGCGCCATCTAGCTACTGATGACAAAAACACTCGGAAGAGTCGAAGCTCAGAGGACGACAATATGGCATATGGTGTATATAAATACGCTCTCGACCACGTACGCCGCGTGGCTTAATGATCAGTGCCAAGTGCTGCGGATTGAGATGTCGCTGGTTCAGCGCCCCGCGACAGAACTTCCCATTTTGCTGTTTTTTTTTTCTTTGTAATCTGATACCCGCAATAGCCTTGTTGAAAGAGTTTAACTCCTCGTCTACTGCTGTGAGATGCAGAGAACGACTGCCGCTAGGTACATACTGGTTCAATAAGTACAAGGGCACTTCCGGCCTAGTGCTAGGCAGAACGAAGTTGTTGTTGATTGAGAGGGCACCCCCCTCCCCCCCTGGGAAATTTGCGGCATGGGACCACCAGACTTAAAATTAAGGTTATCTTTTTCTTTTTTTGTATTTATTGTAAATACCATATCCCTGACGGAAGTACGTCACCGGAGCCGTGGTAGACTCCGGCATAAAACACTTTCGTGTTAAAAAGAAAGAAATTCGAAACCTAGCTTCATTACGGTGTTATCATTTTAAAGAAAATACATATCGTTTATAGGTTACCGTTCTGCCTTGCTCATAGATTCATCTGTTTTCACGCTTGCCCTTGCTTGTCTTCGACTAATGAAGGTAAAAATAGGAGGATAATTTCCACTTAAAGAACACTGGTTAAGTAACGCACGCGTTAGCAGTCTTAATAAAGTGGTTTCTTAACAAATGTTGGTGGCAATTTTTAGTGAATTATGCTTCAAAAAATGCATTGTATTATTCATATTGTATTGTATATTACCGCAATAGATCATATCAGCGCTTCAGTTCTATCAAGATGTTGATTTTTCTTTCTTATTCCTTCTGAAGGGTGTAGGTTCTTAATAAAGTTTGGCATAATCTTGGTAGAAACATATTGTACAAAAATACACAATTCTTGAGATACGTTTTATTCCATCTTTTGGATATACCTTATATATGCTCTTCTGAAGCACCATTGTCAGCCACAACCGCCATTCAACAGTCACTATGAAGGGGATTGCCTGCCAAGGTATTGGTGTCTCCCTGTATTGGAAGGAATACAAAAAGCAAAGAAAGTAATTGTTATTTGATTGAAACTAACTTTTCGAAAACAAGCATTCTACTCGCTGTCATAACATAAATATTAACTCACTCAATATTTTTATCATGTTTGTTTTTCAAAGCTGCAAAATCCTTCCTTTCCATTTTATTTTCAGCCACTCTCGGTTATTTTCAGGAAGTGCACGAAGCTATTCCTACTAACCCATTCAATCAACTCTATCCTTTCAATGATAAAATTCTCTAGTAACAGATGGACTTCAAATTCAAATAAAGAATCAGTGATTGTGGTAAAGCTTTCGTCTTGCACAGAAAATATTCGAGAACTCACTTCATCAAGTTGCAGCCCGTACGTTGGGTTGTTGATTGTCACGGGTTCAGTCTCCTCTCTAGAAAGAGATTTTAAATGAAGACATAACTAAAGAGACATAAGCATTATTAACTTCACGTTAATTGCAGTAAAGATTTTGCCGCAGTATTAATATTAAATACTCGCGAAATGCGAACATGTTTATTGTAAATCCAGCCACCAGCGTCACGGCGTGCATCGCTGCGTTTTTGGAATTCATGCTATGATAAGAGTGGTTTCGAAATTAATGAGGCTTTGTGCTACACAGGCTTCAAGCGACGGGAAAGCAGTCTCAGTGAGGAAGAGGAAGACAGATATTTATCGCTCGTGTCGTACAATTGTGTGGTCGTAAATATAATTCACTGGAGGCGTTGACAAAGTTTTCGTTGTTTTATTGAGAAATAAATCCATGTATCAATAACGAAATGTGTTATATGTGGTATATACATTTACATAAAAACAAAAGAGGTAAGAAGTATAAATTATGACTTCATCGTACATTTGGGGCACTACATGAACTACTAAAGGTTGTCTATGATGCAATGTAGTACCTGATTTACAAAAGTAAAACAATAGCTTTCGATATCAATTTCTCTTTTGCGAAATTGCAGTCTTTTCAAATGCCATCACCAAAGTCCTCTCATGAAATTTGCTGGATAATATGTGATTCCTCAAGAATTAGCAGTTCTCCAAAGTGCACAAAAACATAATTTATTTTTACTAATAAGAACATAACTGACTTGTTCTGAAACCAAAATGCATGAAACTACTCAAAGAGCGGTTGGTGCATATGCATATTCAGCACAACTTTCTAGGAACTCTTTCCATGCTTTCAATAAATTTTTTAAAAATTCTGCGATCTTACTTGCGTAAACTAAGATCTGATTAGGAGGACACACGGACCTCGGTGGGGAACTCTTAATTTGTGTTAACTGCCTGCGGTTATTTCCAGTGCCCTTAATGCTTAGTACACATCCGTTTTTTTTTTGCATTTTGCTCAAATAATGAAATACCATTATGGCAAATGAGAATGAATTCACTACTGAAAGCTCAACAGCGCAGTGTCATATCCATTAGGCCACCATGGCGTGCCGGTGTTATAGATTGATTGATAAATAGATAAATAGATAAGTAGGGTTTAACGTCCCAAAATTACCATATGATTATGATAGACGCCGTAGTGGAGGGCTCCGGAAATTTCGACCACCAGAGGTTCTTAAACGTGCGCCCAAATCTCTGCATACGGGCCTACAGCATTTTTGCCTTCTTCTAAAATGCAGTAACACCGGAAACCAATTAGCCGATGATGCAGCCCGCTCAGCCCATGAAGGAACCCGTGTAGTCTCGATTCCTCTATCAAGGAATGATGCAGCAAGACAACTTTACCTGCTGGCTCGAGATCTCACACGCACGTTCTGGTCGTCTACCAGCTTCCAAAGGTGTCAATTTTATGAACTGGATCCTTCGCTCAAGCTAAAGCTACCATCACAACTTTCCCGCTCCGATGCGACACTGTTATGCCGACTTTGGCTGGGTGTTGCATTTACAAAGGTGTACTCCTTTCGCAATGGTATGGCAGACACTCCTACATGCGACTACTGCGGAGCTGAAGAGACCATCGAAGGCGCCCTGTGCAGCTGCGCTTGCTACGACACACAGCGATGCCAGCTCCGGATGGTTTTGAATCAACTTGACCCCAGACCATTTTGTGTGCAGAAGATACTAGGACCTTGGGCATCTGCCTCAGTTGCGCAGAAAGCGACTAAAGCACTGCTACTCTACCTAAAGTCAACAAACCTGAGCGACCGCCTGTAGACTGTGTGTGCTCCCCGAGTGTGCTCGTGATTGTGTGTACCTTCTCATCTCTCTGCAACCTCTTTTCTCCCCTTTATCCCTTCTCCAGTGCAGGGTAGCAAACCGGATGTGCGTCTGGTTAACCTCCCTTCCTTTCCTTGCATCCTTTTCTCTCACTCTCTCGAAAATGCAGCCGCCGCAGCAGGGATTTGATCCCGCGACCGAGATAAAGCACAATAAATGTTATACTGTTCAAAGGCAGAGTTCTCTCTACACTTTTGACATAATCAAACACTTTTATATTAAAGAAGCGAAGATGATGACTTCAGAGGAGATAACATATGTGTGTAGTATGTGCCATGATTTTAAATTTTGCGAGGTCATGCTCTGTCGATAGCATTTCTGAAAAAGTAACATAAATCAGTGGTCGGCAACCTTCGGTACGTGGACTGCGGGCAGCCTGTGCGGCAGTATTATGTGGCCCTGGCACGAAGTCAATACCCCCGCCCTTTTTTTTGTCACTCTCAATATAAAGGCCGACATAGCCGTGTTGACCTACAATGGGGTTTTCTCCACTAACCTCAGTAAGTTATGTTCAGCTGCAACTTTGTGACATAAACATTTATAATCCAGTTTGGAGATTAATGTCATTTCACCCAAGTTTTGCGCTTTGACTGCAAAAGCCACCTCGAATTTCTGTTCGGCCGCCCGCTGTGTCGTGTCCATGCAACTTAGCCCTATTCCACCCAAGGAGGCTGGCCCTAGACCTAAATGGTGCCCCTCCCCTTTTTTAAGAAGTGTCGTATCATCATCAAATGATAAGTGACACTAGTTTTCTAGAGCGTAGCTCCAGATCTTCCGAAACAAGTCACGTACCCTCTACAATATGAGCTCGGAGGAAAAATAGAAAGAGATTTTTAGCATAACTTCTTTTTCATGCTGAATGGTACTGAGCGATTGTTCATGTATGAAAAAGAACTTCCGTTGCTATGTAACAGGTCGAGCTATTTGACATCATTCTATTTCTATCATGTACTTAAGAAAAAAATTGCTTGTACAGCCCAAGTATCTCTTATCTTATTGCGGAGGGGCCACAAAGGACTGTGGTGAAACCATATACTAAAAAGTAATGAGAAAAAACGCCAACTGTTATTCTTGTTGAAGGCATAATAACAGTAAGAGCATTTTACTTGCCAACTATTCCACGATGAGTGCATGGATTTGTACCGCAATCTATCTGGCGCCCAACAAGTTATACATCACCCTCGCCTTAAATAGAGAAACACACGTATGTCAAATGGTCACGAGTTTGCGACGTAGATACAAACGATTTTGCGCAGCAAAATAGGAGCATTAAACTTCACAGCGCAATGTATACTTCATAGACTGTATGTATATAAGTGCATCCTCCCCACACTTATTAGGGTATATATTGTAAGACCTGTCAGCCTGGATAAGTCGTTTGACATAACATGGGCGAGTCATTGAGGTACATGCAAACCTGAGCAATGGTCACTTCTAAAACGTTTCTGAGAACAGTTGTGAGCATTGTTTTAAACCTTGCGACTTACCTAGTTGATACTCTCCTTCTCCACAGAACGAGGGCCACGATGACAAAAGCAATCACAAAAACAACGATAACAGGGGTTCCGTAGGACCACCCAGCAACTGGAAAAACAAAATGTTACAAGGAGAGTCTCAGCCGAAGCCCAAATATTGTTGAAGACATTAGCCCGAAACCATATTTAGAATTTGCAGTCATAAAAACGGTGTTAGCTGAAAGATGTGGTGCGCGTCATTTCCTTTCTCGGCAGTCTTAGCAATCGTGATAATGAGCGAAGATTGTCGGGATTTTCGATTAACTTCGTTTAAGTTCTGTTGTTATTGTTGTTTTGTTTTTTGCATCCCAACACACCACTGTATTAGAGACGCCGTAAAACCGAACGACGAAATAAGCGCACCTGGCCAAACTAACGCACTCCGATTGCTTACAGCAAAATACTGGTTTTGGTTATTCGCTCCCTTGCAACGAGCCTGTCTCAGCAGCTGGAATCAAACGTGTGGCTACACACTTCCTGGCGCTAAACTGTGATGCCTGAACAACAACCTAGCCCTGCAAGAATAAAAATTTCTGAGTGGGTGTTGTTCATAACATGAAGCTATGTTTCTTATGACTATACGTACTTCCCAAAATTTCTTTCAATATACGTCTGCGACTATGTGAAACAGCGTGATGAAAGATATAATGTCATTGCGGAGGCCAAGCTTGAAAAGCTGGCTATATTTAATTCTCGCTCTTGGGCACTAAAATTGAATTGAAATGACAGCCGTGTTTATAATTTTTCAATCTGATGGCGTCCGCTGTAAGTATGTACTTCAATATCGGTTGCATTGCACATTAAAACTATGGTATGCTTATGAAGCGTGCTGTAGTAGTGGGCTCTGGAAGTTTCGACCATCTGGAGTCCTTTGACGTTCTATATAGTTAATAGTTAAATGCTACTTTTTGGGTCTCGATCATTAGAAACTGAAGCAGCTTTAGTCACAAACTATCAGCGTGCTGTACTTTTTATCACTAGCAATGAGATAACATAAATTAGATACTTTGGTGCGCGTCCAGAAACCTTCCTCCAAATGTTCCAACTTTGGATATGTTTGCAAGTCGTCCCCAGCCCCCAAAAGGAGCATACTGTGTGTCTGCTGCAGTGGAGACGTAGGTCCCACGGTTAGCTGTCGGTCGCAACGGTTTCCCCCGAAGATGTCTGGGCAGGCGCACTGTGGAGCACCTGTTCCTCGTTCCAACTTGCAGCTGCCACCGTTGCGACAAAAGTAGTCAGGGCAGGCTGCCAAAAGCAAATAGAAACGTAATGCATTAGTACGTGCTCTTGAAGGCATAAAATAATGTGCACCTAATACGCAAGGTACACTCGTACAGCTCCTGCACTGCTATAGTGAAATGAGTGATTCAGACATCTGGACTTCAAAGACACCGACCAGAGCAAATAGATTCATCTGATCCATCGCTGCAATCGGCTCGGCCGTCGCAAAGCTTGGATTGGTGTAGACAAGACGAAGGGTCACGACAGTAGTAGTAGTTCTCCGGGCAAGTGTCTCTGCCATCTGCGCACAATGTAATTGATAAAAAAAGAATTGATTTCAGAAAATGTAGCAATGCGGCGAATGTATGCATTCTTAGAATAGCCGCATCTTTTCACTTCTTGAGCAAGCTGCATTTAGCGCGCTAGATAAAAACACGATAAAGGTTCTTCGACGCGATACTACTGTGCAAGTAGTTACTTCGACTTGCAGTATAATCTGGGCATTTCTTTCGGAGCAATTCTTTAAGTGCACTGCTCTGCCTAGGCTCCCTATGCACAAGGGTACGCGACTCCCGAGACAGAGTCGAAAGGCACTCTGCCGTATCTTTACGCAAAGAATAAAAGAAAAACAGCAGCAAAGAGTGGTTCCCTGTACGAGTCTCGCGGGATTCACAGACAAACTGCGCACTTCTTTTTGTGCTGTATGAGTAAGCATCGTGGTGTACTGCGAGCGCTAGCGAAAATAGCAGAATAGAAGTAGCAATGCTGTGGAAGTCTCATGCCCTAAGTGTTACTGCACATTTTTCCCTTACCAGACAGCCACATTTATCTAGAGCAGTGCAAAATAAATAAGCGCCCATATATGACTCAAGAAACAACATTTACGACAGTCTGTGTCGCGAAGTGTTCATCGCAAACTATATACGTGCTATAGTTTGCGACAGTTTGTATTGTCTATTGGCGCGTGGATGATACTTGCCACACTCTTTCATCAGTTGACTGAGAAACTGACGATCCTTATCGACAATATGTGTGGAGATTGAGCGAACCTCACTAGCTTAAGAGATTTGATTAGTGATTCATATGTGGGGTTTAACAACCAAAACCACCATATGATTTTGAGAGACGCCGTAGTGAGGAGTTCCGAAAATTTCGGCCACGTGGAGTTCTTTAGCATGAACTGCAACCTGAGCACACGGGCCTATATCATTTTCCCTTTCAACGAAATGCAGCCGCTGCAGCCGGGATTTGATCACGATACCTGCGGGTCAGCAGCTGAGTACCTTAGCCACTAGACCACCGCGGCGGAACCGAGCTTAAGAGATAGGCTCAGTTTAGGTATCGCTGATTTTGCTGCAACATATGGGGCGCGAATTGCGCGAAATGATCAGCGGAGATCTTTTTAGCAAGTATCAGTTGTATCTGTTCAGAACACAGTAATTTATTCTCATGGTAAAGTAGTCAGTGCGCCCAAAATTCATTCAGCAACGTGATACACTGATAACTTCTTTGTTCTTTCCCCAGTTTATGAGGCTAAACGCTCAAGCATACTTGAATTAATAGGAACGTTGTTTTTAAATGAAGAAGAAAGCACAAATAAAAGGCAATATTGAACAGCGCTGACATAATGGCGTTCACGGATTGTCGCTATCAGACAAATAAGTCGGACAATGATGGGCCAAGGAGTTCGATTCATAACATGCTATTCATCGTGGAATCTTGCAGGTGTCTGCTGATTACGCTTACGCACCGCACATTCCGTGAGTAAAAAACGCACGTATTCACACACACACACACACACACGCACACACACACACACACACACACATTCACTGAAATGAACAGGATTCACGCACCACACTGCTTCTCGTCCTCTGCGTTGGGACAGTCAGGTACTCCGTCACACAGGAGCAGACCAGGAATACAGGAACTATTGCTGCTACCACAACTGAATTCGCCGGGAAAGACGCAAAGTGAGCGTGGTGTTGTGGGCACAGACCAAGCGCCAGGGGAAAGTGGGCGACCAGTTGCTTTCCCACTAACTGCGAGACAAACGATAGGTCTTCGTTCAAATAGCCTTGCTTTTGTTTATGTATACGCGGCCATAACACACACATTCCAAGTGACCTCCGCAACCTATCGTCACTAAAGAGGTCACAAATACAAAAACAGCACATTTGGTTGGTCCTCACAGTGTCCATTCTACATTGATTGACACATTCCTATCCGAAAAAAGTTAAAATATTACACTCTGCATGGTTATAAGTCATTTCGTTCACAATATTCGTGAAAGATTGCCTTTTGTACTGAGTTTCATACAGGTATGTTGTTTATTAACTTTCAAGGTAAACATAGTAGACAGAGATCTGTCTGCCTGGGTAAAATTTTACGAATAAACAGTCTCTCCTGCAACGTTCTTAAGTTTTTAATATTGAAAACTGGCCCTACGTTTCGAGACTCATTCTGTCTATTGCCCAGGTTGTGGGCTGTCTGGCTGGCTACAAAGCTGGCACGTTTTAATTGTGAAGCATTTCTTAGTGAACTTCGGTGACTTTGACCATATCTGTCTATCTATCTAGCCGCCTACGACTTTTAGCTCTCCTGGCTGTTTTAATAATGGGATCTGTAGTAAAACTCGCATGGCATAAGATACCGTATGACGAGCATAAGTTACAAGTCATAACATGAACATCATGATATGTATGTCATGAATGTAACTATTTACCTGTCATGGTCTTGAAACTCTTGCAGTGGCTTCGTTCACATAAAATATTGCAAAAGTGGTATGGTTTGACATGACTGCATGGAAAACAAACGTGGCAAGCCCTAACATGCAAATCATGATATCCATGTCATGTAAGGCATAAATACACGTCACGCTCATGGTTCCCTCACGGTCAATTAGCTAGCTTCACATATACAGAATTGGGTATCTCGGGACGCGAATGAATGACGAAGGTATATGGCTGGTGCAAACGTAATAATCATGAGATGCGTGTCTTGTAAGAACATGACTACACTCTACGCTCATGATGCGCTCGCAGCTGTTTCACTAACCTCACATAAACTAACTTGGTGTTGCGTGACGTAAATAATGAAGAAGGTATATGACTGGTGCAAACATGATAATCATGACACATGTGTCATGTAAGAAGATTACTGCATACCATGCTCATGATGCGCTCACGGCCAGTTCGCTAGCTTCACATATGCCAACAAAAATACGTGACGCAGATAGACGACTGAAGTAAATGACACGTCCAAACATGATAATCAAGACATGCGTGTCGGGTAAAACATGACTCCATGCTACGCTCATAGCGCTCTTGCGACCGTTTCGCTCACTTCACATATACCAAATTGGGTATTACGTGACATGAATGAAATATGAACACTAATGCTAGGCGTAAACACGAAAATTATGACATGGAAGTCTTGTAAGAAATAATTAACATGCCAGGCTCATGGTGCGCTTGCAGCATGATCGCTAGTTTGATATACAACATATCTGCCTTCCACTGCTGGTGCTGGTATCGAAAACGTTAGTGGTACCGTCGTTAAGCCACTATACACATACTTGCATTTTATCTATATACGTTAGTGCTTATAACATTTCTACTTATGTTTACTGTGTACTACGTCCGTCCACCTCATAACGTTGTGCTGATTTTAAACTGACATAAAAACCTTCCTTATTCGTGTTTCACATATCATCGATTCCCACTGTACGTACGTGGTATCTGCCAATTTTAGTGGCTGTCTCCCTCTCGAATGTCAGTAATTAGGACGACAGAAAACCACAAAACAAGCGCCAGCTTCGGAGCCGGCTGGGCAGCTACCCCTTGAAGAAGAGACAGAATGGGTCTCAAAACGTAGGGATAGTTTTCAATAATAAGAACTATAGACTATGCGTGGCTGGAGACTGTGTTCGTTTATTATCAGCGCAAACATTGTAAGTAGGGCTACATTTAAGCAGACTATCCTGATGCATAGCTGAACATTTTCCGCCACCCATTTTCTGATAACTCCACATGCAAATTACACACAAAGCAAGTCATCAAGAAAAATCACAATCAAAACATAGTTACGTTCACACGAATGCTACAGTGTTAAGTAAAGTATTTTAAAGTTAAGAAGAATTTTGTATTATAAAACATAATTACGTAAACACGAACGCTACAGGGTTGAATAAAGTAATTTATTGTTACGAAGAATTTTGTATCATGGCATTACCTGTTGTTCCTCCTGATGTGCATGTCATTCCTGTAAGTAAAAAACAAAAGCAGCTCTAAGTACGTATACGCCGAAATGAGGCATCTTTCATTCTTCCTCTAAAGACGAACACATGTACAGCTATAGTCAAAGGGGTCATCTTTTACGCCCACACTTATCTTGTTGTGTGTATGCGGGTTTCTCGTAGCGCTCGTTTAAAATATGTTCCAAGCGGCAGCTACCTGAATTTAATAATTGCTACGTGTGGCCTAAAGTGAATGAAAATGGTTTATCAAATTCTCCAGGTCACTACTTGTATACTTAGGTTATTTCTGAAAATGACGCTCACCTCTCCGTGGGTTTCTCTCGAACAGGACCAACCATGCTAAGGCTTTTGTGTTATTATTAAATGTTTATTGAAAGCACGTAAGTAAAAAAACGACCATATTTTTGTAGTGTACTGAATTTTGTCGACATCATTAAAGACATACTGAACATCACTTTTCGCTCAAATGGTTCTGACTCTACTTATTGATTATACGAACCACAATCGGTTTCATCACTGCCATCTTCGCAGTCGTTCTCGCAATCGCAGACGAAACTTCGAGGCAAGCACATTCTTCTGTCCGCACACAAAAACTCGTCTCGGCTGCACAGTGATCGGTGTTTCCTGGTATCAGCAGTACCTGCAAAAATTTCGCACACTTGTATTCAAATCACAGCCGCCGTTTACCAGTCGAATTGACCAAGCACGTGCAAACATTCAACTACGGTGGCCTGATGTAATTGTGTAAGGCATGTGGGCCTAGCCTTACAAGAAACACAATGAAGCTATACGTTGTAGTACAGTTCTATAGAATCTCGCAGTGCAATCGCAGCAATAATAATAATAACAATATTATTATTATTATTATTATTATTATTATTATTATTATTATTATTATTATTATTATTATTATTATTATTATTATTATTATTATTATTATTATTAATGACGATGATGATGTTTTTATGAATATTACTGTATATATTTGCACAGCTAAGTTATTCTTTCCTTCAGGTCACTTATGCTTTCATTTCTATATTACTGGGTGCAGAATCAAACATCAGAGCTAAAAAAATGTTGGCGGAGTAATCTTTCAAGGCGACTGAACAAACTAGCTTGGGCAATAAAGCTCCTAAAAAGCTCCAAAAAGGTTCATATCTGAGCAAGCTCTTTAGCTCGTGAGTAATGTATGAAGAAAAAAATGCTTACAATAGCAAGTAAACCATAAAATGAGCCAATATGAAAATGTAAAAAAAGCGCACTGCCAAAAGAAAGGCGATGACTCCAGATGTAAAGTTGCTTAGGAGGTCAAAAGGACAGAAAATGTATCTTCTTTACTGCTCAGCATCCATAATTAAGCGGTTCACTTTTTTTTACCCATTGTGGCAGCATTCTGCTTCATCTGTCCTTCCTTTGCGTCTACTTTTGCCTAAAGTAACTTATTTAACATCAATTTACCAAACAACAGTGTCAATACATTATGCTGAATGGGACAGGATCTCAAGAGATTGCAGGCACTGACCTCCTTCCTGGCAAGAGGGTGTAAAGGTCACTTCGTCGATTGCGATATCGGTGAGCGCGTCACCTCCGCGCTGAGCAAGGAAGGCGACCGTGAAAGGCTCGGAGTGACCGACCACCACGTGTGCGTATGCCCATAGGGATCCCTGGGGTCCGACCTCTTGCCACATGGGCAGTCTGGAACCCGCACCCTGTGTCTCCACCTACAGAACCATCCCCAAATGTAGCGACAGTAAATGATACCCGCTAACATCGCTCATGTCAGGCAAACACTATTATGTACCACCAAGAAATTTTATTTCCTATCTTTACACATTTATATGGCAGAAGCAAAATAGCAAGAGCTAAGCCAAATAAATTCTTTCAAGACCATGGTTGAAACTGTAAAGAGTTACAGCTGCATGCTATAGTTCCAGTCAGCAGAGAGCATATGGCAGCCTAGTATCATTTCAAAATAAAACTTTCCTTGCCAAGCCCACAGAGTTCAGTTGTGTGTACGCAAGTTTGTGTCATAGAAGAATATACATAGGACTTATAGCCATAACAAGTCGGCTATGTAGTGGTCATAAGCATATATATTTTTCCACGTAATCAAATAATAAATCATGTCTTAATGCTTTACATATAATGTCGGATCATATATTGCGCAGTTCTTTTTTTTCTAATTTTGTTATACTTATAAAACCCAAGCGTGGTATCAGTGGGTAGACATCTATTCTTGGACAACGCCCAAGATTGGATAATTGATAAAGAAACCTTTATTGTATTTCAATATATCAGGTGTTTAAACTTAAGTTGTATGGTTTTCTAAAAATTCAGCTCTCAAAAAAACATGAAAATCACATTGCAGATAACCTATGCATTGAGGTAGACACAAAGTCAGATAAGGAATATACCAGTCAGTGACCCAATTAACTGAGATTTATGAGTAACTTTTCAGTGGCTGTAGTAAGCAAGTATATTTGTATTGAAAAGTTCGAGCCAGTCGCGTTTCTACTTAGTTACACTTGGAACAACTCCTCTAGCATGTATTTGCTGCGAGATGTCCTGCAGCAAAGATTAATTGCGGCCTGCATGATACCGCATGCAAGAAAGTCAGCATTCGCGCGAAACTATTCCCCTAAGGGCCGAAGCAGTTGCGCACGTCATTTCATCTGACAATGGGTTGAAGGCAGAGGCAGAAATAGTAACAGGTACCCTTTTACTACCCACTGCTAATAGCAAAGCTATATGACTGTTCGCCACTTCGAACTGGAACATTGTGTCGATCTTCACCGCCTTCCTTGCGCAGTCACGCAAACCACAGTTAAACTTGGCAGCGGGACAACTCTAAGCCCAGACGTGCTAGAATTCTTCCAAGTGTAACTGCGTAGATTCATGACTGCCTCCAACTTTTCGATGCAAATATGCATGTTTGGTGCAGTCGCTGAAAAGGTAATTAATAAATCTCAGTTAGTTTTATGTTCTTCCCGTGCTGGATTTTCATGTTTTTTGTGTTCTTCCCAGTGCTGGATTTCGAGAAGACCATGAAGCTTAACTTTGAACACCCGGTATTTCGTACCATTCTCTGTATCCACCACCTGCATTGATATATCCCACAGCGTACCCACCTGATGAAATGTTGGCATATGAATAATAACTACGTAACCTTAATATTCTATTAAAATTATGTGGCGACAATTCTGGGGCATAAATATAAAGGTAAAATTAGCCATACTCGTGCGAAAAACAATCGCATAATGCCAAATTTCTACTCCCTTAGGAAGACAGCACCTATTAAGACTGCCCAGAGTCATGCCTGCAATATTGTGACGGAGACTGTGGGCCTGTGTGAAACACAATATACAATTGTATCGGGCCAGTTGGTAAGGATCCATCTTGCTAGGAAGCGCAGCCACTATTTCAAAGAACACACAACACAAGCGCTTAACTTCAACTAAACGTTTATTGCAAACGTCAGAGTTTCTAAAGGGGGTGAAAAGAGAAAAAGAATAAAAAATTGTAGACAACAAAAAGCATACGTGCCAGTCCCGTACATTACTATCCGTTATTGTCTATCAGCGCATCCAAAAAAATAGTTCTTTCCACGTGAGCGAGATAGATTTTTTGGTATCGAATGCCAAAACTGTCGTTAAGGCGATGTCCATAGATGTGAAAGATTTACCTCATGAAATGCTTCTCGAATTTGTTGAGCAGTGCATACTTGAGTATGGTGCAGTGACCTTTCAGAACACTTGTGGTATGTCAGTGAGAGGTTTTCTGGATTTACTGGCTTTGTACTTAACGTCCACATTCGTTAATTGGAATGGGAACACCTATATCCAAAAACAGGGTATTTGTATTGGTTTGGCTATTGCACCCGTCCTTAGTGATATTTTTATGGCCCACTTAGATCGATTAATTGATGAGAGGTTGTCGGGAACTAAGGTTTTAAAGATCGTCAGGTTTGTGGATGATTATTTGATTTTTTTAAGTGTGATGCCAAAGAGATTCAAAGTGTTGCTGTTTTGACACTTGGAGTATTTGAGACAGTTTGTCAGCCTCTGAAACTAACACATGAAGTGCCCTATGGTAATACGCTCAGGTTCCTAGATCTGTCGTTGCAATTTCAAGATGACCACCTTTGTTGGCTTTATGAGCCCAGGAGCAAAAAGCCATTGTTGCCTTTCTCTTCTGCCCATACTAAAGTAGTGAAGAGGTCTGTTGCACGAATGTGCCTTTTTAATTCGTTGAAGAAGTGCTGTTTTCACCTCATGAAGAAGAGCTTTGAGCAACAAGTTTTGTGACTGAAGGCAGCAGGCTACCCGCAACGAATGGTTATAAGCGTCGCTGAATCGCTACATAGGGACCTAAAGAAACAAAATAGGCAGCGTATTAACACTTCCCTGCAGCCGCGTGAAACGGCTGTTGTCCCCTATATCCATAGTGTGGCACACAATCTTAAAAAGATTTGTAATAAGATGGGCGTTCGAGTGTTTATGTCTGCCCCTGAAAAACAGTCCAGAATATGTCACCAAACTTGTCCTGTTTCTAAAGAAAAGAAAGGTTGCCAAATTAAGCATCGCAATAAATATGTTGAGTGTGCGCAGTCTGTAGTTTACAGAGTGCCCTTTTAATGTGGTCTTGGTTATGTCGGAACAACTGAAAGATGCATTAATGAAAGGCTCAAAAAGCACCACAAAAAAGTGCAGAAGGGTACCGATGGTGACTTGGCGTTCCACTGTAAGGAGTGCGGTTGTGTGCCTTACTTCAATAACACGTGCGTGCTGTATCGGGACAGAGATTTGTTAGCCCGTTTGATAGTAGAAGTGGCTGAAATGACACGCGATGATTTTGATTATGTTAGTGCACCCTCTATCTCGCTCACGCGGAAAGAACTATGTTTTTTGTATGGGGTGATAGAAAATAACGGATAGTAATGTACGGGACTGGCACGTATGCTTTTTGTTGTCTACCATTTTTTTATTCTTTCTCTCTTTTCACCCCCTTTATACACTCTGACGTTTGCAATAAACGTTTAGTTGAAGTTAAGCGCTTCTGTTGTGTGTTCTTTGAAATAGTGGCTGCGCATCCTAGCAAGATGGACTGTCTGAAACGTTATAAAACCCAGAGAACATGGTGTTTATGTTGTACTTACCCGGAGAAACTCCATAGATGGCGAACCTTTCATGAAATACCAGAACCTGAGGTGGCACTTGTTTTCACTTGCTGGGAAGTGGGGTGTCCGGGCAACTGCCACCGAACCCAGTGGCAGCTCGGTGCTGTTGGCGAGCAGGAAATAGGCTGTGAAGAAAGAACGGGATGAACAACAACGAACAAATATGACAACGTGGTTGATCCGGAAAGCCCATTGCTCACTTGAAACGTTCTCATCTTGGTAAAGCGGTAATTAAAATTACCTATGAAAATTTATCCTTTGTATCACAGGTGTCACGTTAGTGGCAGTTTTTTTTTTCTCCACTGAAATTTAGCTAAGGTACTACTGACCCCTAACTGCCACAAACGTGGAAGTCCAAGCTTTCACCTACACTTCATTGGTGTAACCATTGCTACTCCACTTGAGTGTTCTTTTCATTATAAAATTGAACATCACGTACGGTCAGTGAAGACAATGAGTAACTGACTTTACATGCTCCACTTTGCTTATTACTAGTAATATCTCGATCATAAATACCTCTCTCTATTTTTTTCGTGAAGCCTGCTTAGCAATCCTAGTATGTATTATTTTGATATCATTGATAATGAACAACTTTGTTTGCAGTTTAGGTTTGCATACACGTTTGAGACATTCAGGACTCAGAAGTCTAGCTTTCTGGGCATTCTGAAAAGTGTGCTGCAGTTTGCTGGGTCATGAAGTTTTTTTATTAATTTCCTGCAAAATAAATTTTAGGCATCTCAAAGCCTTAAAAGGTTTTTTTAAATATGGGGGCAAAAGGTCAAAGCTGAGCAAATCCATGACATTCTCTTTCAATATGAATATCCAAGTCAAAGCAAAGATGAAAACTGGGAAGGCTCAGATTGTGTAGAAGATTGACGAAGACTGAGATTGTGCAAAAAAATTGTAGAAGACTCAGATTCTCTATTTCTCCAGAGAGATGGGCCATGCCTAGATGGCGAAATCTCAAAAGAGAATGAGGATGAAGAAGTTTAACTTACATCTAGTCTGATGAACAAACAAAATAATGGCGCTGGGTGAAAAAGCTTCTCGACAAAATAGAAAAATCAGAAAACAAGTCAGAACAACAATACAAAAAGAAATCAACTGCTTCCAAACGTTTCATGCCTCATGGAAAATTTCAAAGTTTTCAGTCGTCATAGAAAATGTACAAATATTTTTGTAAGCTTTTCTTTGGGTATTACTTTGAACAAAAACTGCCTGGAAATATCTTTTTCTGAAGCCTTCATGGCGCAGTCTGTAATTGAAAAACAAACCGCCAAGATTTAGGCACTGCTACAATTACATCCCAAACAACGATACCTTCAGCACCATTTCTACGAACGTTTAGGAGGTGGCTCCTTTTGCTCGCAGTTTTGTCCTCTGTCGGCGGGTGGCGTATACATCCGCGCTGCCTGCAGATTACCACGGTCGCGCTCAAGGTTACCTCTCCAGTGATTCCAACACTAGATGGCGCGCCTCTACTTAAGGCGCTAGAGTTGCTGTATATGCTCCCTACGGGAGCAGAGTTGCGCATGGGTCCGCCATTAGGTTCAACGGCTGTGCAGTGAAGCCATTCGTCGCGCGCGCAGAAGAAAAATACGGCGCGATGTTCCGGCGTGGGCGGCGTACGTGCCGCAGACTTATACGCACGCGCTGAGCAAGATTGCAGTGTTGCAGTGAGGCGGTATACTACTACAGGTTACGAAAAAAAAATAGAAGCCTGTGTGCTTACATTTCCGAAGCCCTCTACTACGGCGTCTCTCATGCTGATATGGTAGTTCTGGGACGTTAAACTCAACATTTATTTAAATGAGGGGAAAACTACTGAGAAGGTAACTGATTTTGAAATAATGCCGCTGCGCGGTTTTCACACCAAACATACGATGCATAATGTTTCTACAATAACAATTTTGTGATTGCCCGGTTCATTTTCACCCCGATAGATTCCGCCACCTATCCAGTCTAACGGGGGCTAACACGTTTGCAGTTTCGAAGTTCTGGCCATATTAGTTTTAATAATTCAGCTGAAACAATGTAATCGCTATCGGTGCTCCCACTTCTGCTTCTTTTGACTGGATGTTCGAAATCTCCACACTGTAAATATCGCGAGTTCCAGGGAAAGAAGGTGGATTTGCGAGATAGCGCCACAAACGTAAAGCCTATCTGGCGGGTAGTTTACTTTACGTAAAGGTTTACCTTCTCTAAAGAGCCGCACATGTGCTGATTCTATCCGGTAACACAGTAACGTAAAGAAGTATACGTAAGAGCTAAAAGCCCCTAATGGCGGTCACCATGAGGCTGATATCGGCGCGGGCAGAGAACGCGTGGGCGCCACGTCATCGTGCACGTAAAGTTGGCTTCACCACGTGAATAATACGTTTGGCATCAATTTGCACTTCGTGACAGTGGTCACCGAATAGCCGCGTGAGCGGCGGAAGGAAAAGGTATGCGTAACTCTGCTACCTAAAGGTAGCATATACAGTAACTTTACAAGGCACCGGTTTTCGAAGCGGTAGTGGTTAGAAGAGGAAGAAAGCACCCAATTTCTACAGACGGTACGGAGCACACCGCAGCACCTCAAGTGGACTTGAAAGAAAGGGAAGAAAGGGAAAACTGTGTCGTTTTAAGTGTCTCTGAGCAGGTCACCTCAACAATACTACACGGAGTATGGGTAGTGGGGGACAGACAGGAATGTGAAAGAAAGAGGAAATGGCGTAAGGGGTGTTTGGTCTGGCGGCTCTCAAAGACGCGCAGCCTCAAAAAAAAAGCCGCTGGCACGCCGGCAGGGCGAGGGTAATCACTTCGTAGGTACAGCAGCAGGTGACAAGTTCCTACAATGAGTGTTACACACAGGTACCAATATCCTCCACAGCCCTTTCACCTGCCTTTTCTCAACCCCGTTGAAGTTCGCCTGAGAGCTCCACGTCTGTCATGTATAAACGTTAGGCATTTGACTCACGGCAGTGGCCAGTATGGCATAAAGGGGCTTGTGGTTGACGTGCCGATCAACGTGACCAACACTGTGCAGTGCCGGCGGCGTAACATGATCAACTACGCGGCCTTCGATGTACACATCATGCGCTGGCTCGTTAAAAAGCCTTCCTGAAGAAATTATCGCGTGAAGAAACGTACCATGCACGTCCGAGAAAACTCCTCTAATATCTTTCACTTCACAGATATGACGGTAATTTTTTGTATTTTCTTCATCTACTGAATTTAGATCAGATCTACCTAATGTAACCTGAAATATGAGGATATGTACTGAGGTGTATCTAGAAGAAGGAAATCTCTTGCATCAAACTGTGAATGTTATTTGTCAGAGAGATTGTGTGATTTGCCACGTCAATATAAAGAAATGTTGAGTATCACACGGATTTGCTTACTTCCAGGTGTTCCACGATGTGAGCTAGGAGGGCCTGTGTCCTCAGAATGGGATTCATTAGCTCGCTTCCACGATGGTTGGCCGCCAATGATGTCGACTGTCCAGTTGCATGCCGCTGTCCAGTCTTCTTCGTAGAAATTGCAGTCACCAAAACCATAGACTGTGAAAATGCCATGGAGATGATTAACGCCAGCTAGGTGCAAAGTGTAGTACTTACCATTACATGCCGTAAATGATATATATATATATATATATATATATATATATATATATATATATATATATATATATATATATATATATATATATTCAACAACCATCGATTCAACAACCATCGGGCACATGTACGATCTCTGCCAGGCCTTCCACTTTCAAAATACTGCACATTAAAAGACCACAGCTTTGATCACATCAGGGTTACACTACTAGAAAACTACTTTCGAACAATCAGAAAACGGGAACAACGGGAATCTTATTTTATCTACAAATTTAACACGATAAAATACGGAATAAATGAACACCCAGGCACTCTGTCTGCGTTACGACAACTAAAAGACGCAAACGCTTCTCTCTAATCAGTCCGGTTTCATTACGACAATAATATTACCCGCTAACAAAGCTTTTGGCCTATGCATCTGACAACATAGAAATGATTTGCCTCATCAAGCACAGCCGGAACGCACAGATAAGTGGTCCCGGATGTCGTATTGCCCCCCCCCCCTTCTCTTTTTTTTTCTTACTCTTCTTTAAGTTGAAACGCACGTTCTGTTCCTTCACTGACAAGGAGCTGACAACTAGGTGGTTTCGTTAACTTTTTCGTGCATGCGCGCATGTCTTCCCAGTGAGCCGCAACTGTGTGGTGACTGTCTCGGATGTCGTACAGTCTCCCCCCTCCCCCCCCCATGGTTTTTTTTTCTTCTTTAATTTTTAACGCACATTCTGTCCCTTCACTGACAAGGAGCCAATGCATATAATGAATATCGATGGCGGTGCCTCATTCACAGGCTTTTTCGCTCCTCCCGACGCCACCAGCATGCACTTAAAGCGCTTAAGCCCTCCCCATTAACTTGTCATACACTTCAAAAAGGAACGAGCCGCCAGCGGACTACACGGAAAGGTGAAATACAAAAACGGCGGCTCCCTGCCCACTTGGGGAAGTGTGGGTGCGGGGGAGGTATTGTTGACAATGATGACATTCCTCATCTACCTCTGCCCTACTCTGTTGAAATGCTGCCCCTTTCTAATTACGCCGTGTCGGTCTTGCTTCTTCTCCTAGATTTTCTATATTTTATTTAATGTTTGTCCTCTGGTTTCGCTGTTTCTTTTCTCTCTCTCTCTCAATTGACCCCTCCCCTCCTGTCTCGACAGGATATTGCTGCGACAGGTTCGCCACATTCAAGTAGCCCGCCACAATCATCGTCACCAGCACCAGCAAGACCCGGCTCGGCTGGCATGCGCCACGCGTTCGGACGTTCAACAACGAGGAAGAGGAAGTTAGTCAGATCTGTGCCACTCGGCTACTCGAACTTGACGACCATAGTTTTTAGAATCGTGGGCACAAGTTCGCCCTAATAAAGACGCTTGTTTTTTTAACCTGTCGGCGTCAGCATCGCTACATTTCTGGTGGAGGTGCTGGGTTATGAATCGAAGCCCCACGAGCTCAAGACAGCGTAGCCCCGACGACCAGCGTATCAACCCCGTGGAAGTGACTCCTGTACACCAGAGGGCAAGTCGCCGTCTTCGAGGTGACTCACCTGAGTTCGGTCCTCTTCACTTCATACCAAGGGGAATTCAAACGATGGATGCCACCACTATGACTAGCCAGGTAATACCGGCACAGGTGTTCATTAGCCAACCGCACCAGCCGCCAGTTTTCCACGGCGACTCGTACGAGGATGTTGAAGATTGGTTGGACCTGTTCGAGAGAGTAGCGAGCTTGAATGGATGGGACGAAAGAGAGAAGCTCCGTCGCGTATACTTCGCCCTGGAAGACTTCGCGAAGACATGGTTTGAGAACCATGAAACCTCGTTGTCTACCTGGGAGGTATTTCGACGACAAGCGGTGGCTACGTTCGCGAACATAGACAGGAAAGAAAAGGCGGAGGCAGCTCTTCAATCGAGAAACCAGCTAACAAACGAGAGTGCTGCTATGTACATTGAGGACATGGTCCGCCTGTTCAAGCGTGCGGATTACAACATGGCTGAGGATAAGAAGGTGCGCCATCTGATGCGCGGAGTGAAGCAAGAGCTGTTCGCCGTTCTCGTCCGCAACTCTCCGAGCACGGTTGCTGAGTTTTACTCGGAAGCGACGGCCATCGAAAGAACACTGGAACAGCGGGCTCGGCAGTACAACCGGAATCTTAACTGCGCATCTGCACAGGTATTTCCCGGAGGCGTGCGAAACGACGTTGAAGCCCTGCGAGAGCTAATTAGATCAGTTATCAGAGAAGAACTGAGCAGACTGCATATGCCCCAGACTTCAACTGCACTATCTGTTACGGACGTTGTTCGTGACGAACTGAGGCAGGTGATACGAGAGCCAGAGCGTGAGCTGCAGCCGGTTCGACCTATCCGAACATACTCTGAGGTTGTCAGACAACCCACGGTACACAGCAATGCAGCAGTTGCGATGGCAACGACTCCTCTCCCACCTGCGGCACGCAGCGCACCTCGTCCACGGGAACCGACAGCTACCTATCTGCCCCCAGGAGCACGTAGCACACATCACTATGTGGAGCGTAGGCCCAGGAAAAGTGACGTCTGGCGTGATCACGAGCGCAGGCCTTTGTGTTTTCATTGTGGGGAAGCGGGTCATCTGTACAGATTCTGTCCTTACCGACAGGCTGGATTAAGAGGCTTCCCGTCATATGCACCGTGCCCCCGAAACGGCGAACGACCAGCCGAGATTGAGGAGTACTTGTCGACGCGCCAGAACTCGCCAACTCTACGCCAACACCGGTCACGGTCACCATCGCCTATGCGCTACCGGTCATCCAGCCCACGTACACCTTCAAGGCTGCCTGGTCATCGCTCTCCAAGTCCACACCCGGAAAACTGAAGCAAGCGACCTGTGGAGGTGAGGCCGCTGATAACGTCAGTTACAAAGATCCTCCAATTTGGTTTGAGGGTGATGACGGTGTATTTCCGGTAGATGGGTGCAGCAACGAAAACGTTACTTCAGATTTGCGGTTGAGAATGGAAGGATGGGAGCTGAATGCCTTAGTCGACACCGGTGCTGATTATTCAGTGATAAGTCACAAGATGGTGAAAAAGCTAAACAAAGTTGTGACACAGTGGAGTGGATCGCAGATACGCACGGCAGGCGGTCACATTATTACGCCCCTTGGCAGATTCACTGCAAGACTTGAAATACGGGGCTTTATTTACGTGGCCGATTTCATTGTGCTGCCAGAATGTTCAAGAGAACTCATTATAGGAATGGATTTTTTGCGAGCTAATGGCGCCGTAATTAACCTGCGTAGGTCCAGCGTGTCGTTTTCGACTGAACGAGCTATACCTGTGGAGGAATCTGAGGAACGACGCCTAACTGCTCTACGCGTTGTTCATGATGACGTAACTGTGCCGCCACGCTGCAGTATAATAGTGCTCGTAGAAAATGATGCATTGTACAACCGCGAAGGCATAGCGGATACAAATGTAGGACTGTTTTTGAACAAAGGTGTCGGCGTAGCTAGGGGTCTTGTTCACTTGACGAATGGCCGTGCAGATGTCCTACTCACAAATTTCTCCAATGAGCTTCAACACATCGCTCAAGGCACGGCTATCGCCTATTTACACGACTTCTGTATGGCGACCGAACTATGCAGCTTAACGACATCAACCACTCGACCAGTGGCCTGCAACATCGACACATCCGTGACCGTCAATCAGAGCCTTCCGGACAGTCAGAAGAAACAGATTTACGCCTTGGTAAAAAAATTCTCTGATTGCTTTTCAAGTACCTCGAAGGTCCAGCGCACGTCAATCACGAAACACAGAATTATAACGCAAGACGACACGAGGCCTATATACCAGCATCCATATCGGGTGTCACAGAAAGAACGGGAAACTATCAAGAAGCAAGTGGAGGAGATGCTTTCTGATGATGTCATCCAGCCTTCGAATAGTCCATGGGCGTCTCCCGTAGTGCTCGTTAAGAAGAAAGACAACACACTTAGATTCTGCGTCGACTACAGAAAACTGAACAGTGTAACTAAACGAGATGTCTACCCCTTGCCACGTATCGACGATACACTAGATCGGTTGCGATCCGCAAAGTTTTTCTCCTCCTTAGATCTGAAAAGCGGATATTGGCAAATAGAGGTCGACGAGCGGGACCGTGAAAAAACGGCATTCGTAACACCAGATGGCCTCTACGAATTCAAAGCGCTTCCATTCGGCCTCTGTTCCGCACCAGCGACGTTCCAGCGAATGATGGACACTGTCCTCGCCGGATTGAAATGGCAGTCATGCCCAGTGTATTTGGATGACGTGGTGGTATTCTCTGCAACGTTCGACAAACATCTAGAGCGACTACGCACAGTATTGGAAGCCATCCGGTCAGCGAAATTGACGATCAAACCCGAAAAATGCCACTTCGGCTTCGAAGAGCTGCGATTCCTTGGACATGTCATTAGTTCCGAGGGTGTTCGTCCCGATCCCGAAAAGACAGCCGCTGTTCAGAGGTCCCCTTCACCCAGAGACAAAAAGTCAGTGCGTCGATTTTTGGGTTTATGTGCCTATTATAGACGATTTGTGGAAAACTTTTCAAAGATTGCGGAACCTCTTACAAAACTGACAAAAGACGACGTGCCCTTCACGTGGGAAAGCGAACAACAGAAAGCTTTTGACGAATTAAGGAAACGACTACAGGGTTCACCAATACTTGCCCATTTTGATAAGACAGCCGACACAGAAGTCCATACCGATGCCAGCAATGTCGGCCTCGGCGCCATCCTTGTCCAGTGGCAAAATGGTCAAGAGAAAGTGTTAGCCTATGCCAGCCGCAAACTATCAAAAGCTGAGGCAAACTACTCTGCAACTGAAAAAGAGTGCCTCGCAGTCATCTGGGCCATAAACAAGTTTCGACCCTACCTTTATGGTAGACCGTTCAGAGCTGTCAGTGACCACCATGCTCTATGCTGGCTGGCAAATCTCAAGGACCCGTCAGGTCGACTAGCAAGATGAAGCCTTAGGCTGCAGAAGTATGATATTACGGTCGTGTACAAATCGGGAAGGAAACACAGCGATGCCGACTGCCTGTCACGCTCTCCCGTCGATCCAAGTGTACCTGAAGAGGACGACTTCCCGTTTCTAGGCGTTGTCGACACATCCAAAATCGCTCAACTACAACGAGATGACCCGGATTTGCTGGCACTTATACAACACCTGCAGGGTCTCGACGTTCAAGTCCCTCGCATATTCTCCAGAGGGCTCTCCGCGTTCTGCCTTCGAGGAAGTGTCCTTTACAGGAGGAACTTCGAACCTAATGGTGAAACGTTTTTACTAGTCGTGCCCACAGCCATGCGAGAGGAAATTCTGCACGCATGCCACGACGAGCCAACATCTGGACACATGGGTGTGAGCCGAACATTCGCCAGGATTCGCCTGAAATACTATTGGCCTAAGTTGCTCGCATCAGTGCAGCGCTACGTGAAAACTTGTCGTCAATGTCAACGGCGCAAAACTCCACCCGTAAAACCAGCCGGCCTTCTCCAGCCAATAGACCCTCCAGATGCCCCATTCCAACAAGTCGGCATGGACTTCCTAGGACTTTTGCCGACATCGCGTGCAGGCAAGAAATGGATAGTCGTAGCCACAGACTATCTCACCCGTTATGCTGAAACTGACCCTCTATACAGTGCGACAGCTGCCGAAGTCGCCAAGTTCTTTGTGAACAACATAGTGCTCAGACATGGTGCGCCAATCGTCGTTATTACGGATCGGGGCGCCGCATTTACTGCAGACCTAATGCAATGCCTGATGCGCATGACAAATACCGATCACAGAAGAACAACGGCGTATCACCCTCAGTCAAATGGCTTAACCGAACGCCTCAACAGAACTCTGACCGACATGCTATCAATGTATGTTGATGTTGATCATAAACAGTGGGACGAAATATTACCCTACGTAACATTCGCATATAATACAGCCGTTCAAGAAACAACCCACGTTGCCCCTTTCGAACTAGTATTCGGCCGAAGAGTGACCACCCCGCTGGATGCCATGTTACCACTACAGGACGAAAGCAGCTATCCACCTGACTTAGATGACTTCTTGCAAAGAGCCGAAGAAGCACGGCAAATGGCAAGATACCGAATACGCCACCAACAGCACGTCGATTCTAGTCGCTACAACAAGCGACGCAGTGACACACTTTATCATCCCGGTGACAAAGTGTGGATATGGATACCAGTGCGCCGCCGCGGACTCTCTGAAAAGCTTCTTTGCCGATACTTCGGCCCTTATGAAGTACTCAACCGTATCAGCAACGTCACTTATGAAGTTAGGTCCGCTGGACACGTGGGTTCAAGACGCCGCAATCCCACGGAAGTGGTCCACGTAGTCCGCATGAAGCCCTATCTTGACAGATCGTCGAAAAACGAGTGAGAGTGCGCGTGTATCTTTTCACTGTCTTAAGCATCGGGACGATGCGTCTGAGGAGGGGGGCAATGCTGCGACAGGTTCGCCACATTCAAGTAGCCCGCCACAATCATCGTCACCAGCACCAGCAAGACCCGGCTCGGCTGGCATGCGCCACGCGTTCGGACGTTCAACAACGAGGAAGAGGAAGTTAGTCAGATCTGTGCCACTCGGCTACTCGAACTTGACGACCATAGTTTTTAGAATCGTGGGCACAAGTTCGCCCTAATAAAGACGCTTGTTTTTTTAACCTGTCGGCGTCAGCATCGCTACAATATAAAAAGGCACGGAACATGTGTAAATAGTATTATGCCTTGAAAAAGACAGGGTTCCTGTCGAAACGTCCGCACAATAAACAGTTGTTATGTGAAAGCGCATCTACTTTCATATATATATATATATATATATATATATATATATATATATATATATATATATATATATATATATATATATATATATATATATATGTATATATATATATATATATATATATATATATATATATATATATATATATATATATATATATATATATATATATATATATATATATATATATATATATAAACTTTAAGGGAAGGCACGACAGGTCCGGGTATTTTCTATATTGAATGAACTTGCAGATAGCACATAAGAAAAGGATCGTATTTACTAACGTTTCGGCCGTGCCACGGCCGAAACGTTAGTAAATACGATCCTTTTCTTATGTGCTATCTGCAAGTTATTTCAATATATATATATATATATATATATATATATATATATATATATATATATATATATATATCAAGGAAGACAAGTATACTTAAGGCCTCGTCTTTCTGGGTTTTGACACAATATAGTGAGTTCTAACAACAATAATGCCAATGCAAGTATAGGGGAAGTTATTATACCAACTTGGTGTGTAAATTGGAAAATAAAAGGGGGGTGAAAAGATAACTTGCCATAGGCAGTAACAGAACCTGCAATCTTCGAATAACGCGTTTGAAGCTCTACAACTGAGCTACTACAGCAGCTACCCCCCCCCCCCCGTCACTCCGGTTCCTGCTCATGGCAAGTTCTCTTTTCACCCACTTTTCTGTCTTCCCATTTACAACACAATTTGGTCTAATAACTTCCGCTATACTTTCTATGGCATTATTGTCAGTTAGAATTCATTAGGTTGTGTCAAAACACGGAAAACAAGCCCTTCAGTATACTTCTTTCCCTTATTCATTGACGAGGGTCTCGTACTGGCACCCTTTAGGTCTTATACATGGGACTATTGGTCAGATGTCAGCTCGTAATAGGTTCAGGTGCTACGTGATGCCAAACAGGCTCATAAAGAGTGTGCCACACTCGCCGCCATGGCTACTGGTGGTGCTGACAGATGCTCCAACGTTTAAATTCATATATATACCCAATAAAGTGGCAAATGCATTTGCCCCATTGCGCTGTCTCGGCAGGGCCGCAACGATGGTGGTGGCTTTACGATGAATGCGTTTTGCCATCAGCCACAAGGACGATAACCACTGTGACTGCTTATCACTGTCATGAGCCAGTACGAGGGAAGCGTGTCGTTCGTACGTGGAACGTTAGAGAGCACTCGAATTATCGTGTGCACTGACGCGCGAGCGGGTTTTGTCACGTGGTATTTTTTTTCGTATTTCGCGGGCATTTGTAAGTAGCAGAAAACCACTAATACTTAACAGATATAAGGTTCAAAACTATCTATTCGATTGTATTGCAAACCAGTCCACAACTTTCTCATTGAAATATTTTATCTATCTTCATCCTTTGAAAACAAAAACTTGTTAATGAAACATATCTAATTGAACAATATTTGAGAACACAAAACATAGTCTGACTAACTCTAGGCAACAGTGAGCAATGTGCATTTGGTCACGTCGTAATAGCGTGTGCCGGCATAATTGTAAACGCCGGCTAAAACTACCTGGGACACACCCTGTATATATATATATATATATATATATATATATATATATATATATATATATATATATATATATATATGTGTGTGTGTGTGTGTGTGTGTGTGTGTGTGTGTGTGTGTGTGTGTGTGTGTGTGTGTGTGTGTGTGTGTGTGTGTGTGGAGAGAGAGAAAGAACGAATGGTACACACGTGCGTCTTTCAGTGTCTGCGCTACGTGATTGACGAATTGACAGCTTGATACTGACCGCAGTCTTGCTCATCGCTGCCGTCTGAGCAATCTCTCTTCCCGTCACAGCGCTCGAACTGGAAAACACACTGAGCTAGATGAGCGCACATCCATTCACTTTCCGCACAGCTGCTGGCATGGTGGTCTGTGCAAAAATAGAACGATAAGTATAGGGAGTCGTATCATTTAAGCCAATTTGGCATAAAGAGCATCAAAAAATAATTGCTTTGATCGAAAGAAAAAAACTGCTAGGTCAACGTAGAACAATACAAAACAAGTACTGAGTAGAAATGCTGTCTATGGCCGTTGTGAACTATTTGCGCTTCTTTTTTCTTTCTACCTCAATCGATTGCATACAAGGCCATGGTGCACATTAAACTGCATTCTAAATAGTTAAGTTTGACTTAAACAACGTTTCTCGGGTATTGACTGCATTTACAACCTTACCTACATTTTAAAGCGCAATGCCTGCACCATAGGAATCATGTACCTTTTGATCTGTGTATTGCGCAATAGTCGACCGCGTCCTTAGCAGAGAAGAATTGGTGCTTTATTTGTCTAATTTAGTTTTCTTCGCTCATAGCCTCTGCACACTTGCGTGAACGGACCATAGTTCAAAGTGCTCAGGAATGAACCTAATGGAGGTAACTGATCGTTATGCAAAATAAATTACTGAGATAATCAACACCATTTGAAAATTAACACTAGTAAAACTAAAGCAATCTTGTTCTGAACGCGGAACAAGACTGTTAAACTATCTTATTAAGCGCATGCCATAGAATAACAACGTGAATCACCCAACTAGTAAGTTCTTCAGAAGAATTAGTGTAATTCATGATGTCTCATTCGAATGCCCCAGAAGCATCAATATGCCTCTGTAGAATACTCTTTTCGTACCAATAATTATTTATGGCATGCTAGTTTGTGATACCACTACAAAAAAAACATTACCAAGCTCACACTATTACGAAACCTTGTGGTTCAATTATTATCCCAGGTGTCACACCTTTCATGCACCAGTGACCTCTTTATTAGACTTAACATTAGCCCTGTAAACTGCATCTTTATCTCTGATGTATTTCGCCAGTATAAATCGGATGTAATAAAGAAACAGTAGTTTACAAGCCCTAGCAGTTTTACAGGCCACTTTAATAAAGTGCATATACGCATACCAGAAAAATGGTAATTTAAGGAATTTCACAATAATAATGATAATAACGTGCTTCGGTTCCAACTACCAACATTGCTAAATATAACTTTCAATGGACAGCTTTTTGGCATTACACAAATTTTCGTTGACTACGAAGGCTATTTATCTCAATATCCTTATCATAAACTTGCCTTCAACACATCGTCGTCAATTTGTTTCATTTTCTTGTTTTTCAAAGGAATTTTTTATGTAACTTAATATTGCTGTGTAAGAGTTCTCGCATGCAGATGAGCCATGTGCAACGCATTATGGCTGCATTAATTTTATTGCAATAGCAGTTATACGGGCAGTCTCGGCTTGTTTTTGCCGTCATCATTACCGTTGCCGTCACCATCAAGTCAATAACAGCAATAAATTCTGCATTGTCGACTTTTTCAGCGCGTTGCTCAAATAAAAACAACCCATAAATATGACAGTTGCAACGCTGATATAGTTGTAGATTGGCCAGGCTACCCTCAAGCTTAATAATCAGTTTTTTTTTCTTCTGGTCTCTCGCAACATTATTTTTGCACATAATCAATAAGTGAAATAAATTAAACTATGGACCATCTCCCCGAAGGAAACCGTGGTAGGATGCGAAGCAGCGATGGTGCGCACGGCCATGACCCAGTCTAAGCGGGCGTCGACGCGGGGGCTGGAAGAATGGTTTGAGGCGAAACTCAGGGTAGCATTTACTCGAGAAGACATTTGTTTTGAACACAAAGGCATGGGAGGAGGGACGCGTTGAAGATGCTTGCGCTTGGCTTCCCCGACTCGCGTCTCGTCGGTGTTACCCGCGCGCCGTCTCTATTCTCGAACGCGATCGGCGTTGTTGATTCGCACCTCGTCGGTGTCGTTGGTCTTCCACTGCTGACGCTTGCGTTCGGCTTCCCTGGTTCACGCCGCATCGATGCTCCAAGAGCGACGTTGCCATTCGCGAGCGCGATCGGCTTCGCAAACGCGCAACACAGGCGACGACCGGGAAAGGTACGCGCACACTAGCGGGAAGCATGCCCGGTCACGGTAGCGTCCTGCCCGTCGACGTGATCACGCGGCAAGCAGCCGCACGCTCTCCATAGTACCGGCGCCGCGGGACCACGGCCGGGCTAGACGGCGGTGCGTGAGCATGCACAGCGCGCCTACCCGAGGCTTCTTCTCGCCGACAGATGGAAAGAGGTGGCGCGAGTGAGGAATTGCTGGCGACGTGAGAATTGAGCTCGAGCGTTGCGAGCGGTTTAGAGCGTGAAGCGAGTCCGATGACACGCGGCGAGCAGAGGAAAGGTTGAGAGGGAGGACGTCACGCGCGCACTCTGCGAGGGAAGGCGTGGCCTACTCGGCACCGCCCTGCTGCTTCGCATCTGAAAAAAAATTGTGTATGCCACCTGAGCTACATGGGCTAGAATATGAAAATGTGATGAACGTGCCCGACAGCGCGTAACGCGTTAGGAGGAAACCGCCAGGTGGCACTGGCACACGTTTGCACGTCACCCTAGCCGGCGATGCGCTGCGCAGAGACGAAAATCAACCACGCCCACAGGCAATGTGAAACATTTAAAAATATTTTGTTGCTCGTGCATGGTTTCAAATGGCGACCGAGAAAATATTGTAACGCGGACTGAAAGAGGGAAAAAGAAGAGGTAGGATGCTCTCGGGCGATGGTGATTCGGCAGTGACGGTGGAGCACTGGCATTAAGAGTGTAAATAAACCCATCACATCCGTAACAGCTTTGGTGGAGGTGCTGGGTAATTCGCCGTCCTGGATCCCGCAGCAGAAGGTCTTTGAAAAAGCAGACGCTTAGCTGGCCTACCCCCGGACAACATCAGCATGAACGACGACACAGCAATCGTGTTGACGGACTACGCTGCTGCATCCGCCAGTGCCACCGACATGGTACAAGGTGTGGCCGTCGACCTCGACATTCAGACTACTGGGCGCCTGAACCAGGGATATTCTCAGGTAAAACTAACGAAGACGTGGATGCTTGGCCAAAACACTACGGCAGAGTGAGCCGCTACTACGACTGGGGCGTGCCGGCGAAGCTCGTGAATGTAGTATTCTTCCTTGCCGGGACCACTTTGCTTTGGTTTGAGAACCATGAACATGTCTTGACCACTTGGGATATATTTGTTCAGGAACTGAAGGCCTGCTTTGGGAACACGAGTTCTATGAAAAAGAAAGCTGAGTAAACGCTGTCACGTAGGGCTCAGTTGCCAGGCGCAACGTTCACAACCTACATTGAAGAGGTATTGAAGCTTTGCCGGATTGTCAACGCAAATATGTCCGACGAAGACAAGGTCGCTCATTTGTTAAAAGGCATCGCCAAGGACGTGTACAATTTTCTCATAATGAAAGAGAACTTGAACACTCCTATTTGCAGGCAGCAGTGTCACGCATTCGAGGCGTTGAAGACCCGGAGAATTTTACTCAAGTTCGGGCGCTTGGACAATGTTCCCACTGTCGCAAGTATGGACGTCACCGCCTGCGAAGACATTCCCTTACTCGTACGTCGAGTAGTTCGAGAAGAGCTCGTACGGCTTCAAGCAGGTGATGCTCACCGCCAATGCTCGTTCGCCGCGTGCCCCGAACCACCTCCCTACTGGATGCGAGAGCACCACGTCGAAAACCGACAGCGCACAGAAACAACAGATTTCACCCCACTGCTTCCGTTTTCCCCGACGGTCACGGCCACCACCGGATGTCATCATCTCGGCGTGCCGCTGCAGACCTCCGACCATCCTCAACCAGGCCTCTACCAGAATATTACTATATGCGTCATCACGAAATGTTCCTGCAGAGCACACGACCTGTCTCTGCGTACTTCTGCCACCTCTGCTCCTGCTAATGTAAGCCGACAAGTCCCTGTTTGCTAAAAGTGCGGTCTCCCAGGACATATTTCACACTTCTGTCCCAGCTGTTCACCTGTGCCACCACGTTTTTCGACGTGCCCGGCTCGTACGCACGAAACGCCCGTGCCGCCACGGTTTTTGACGTACCCGCCTCGTATGTGCGAAACCTAGACCGCTCACCCCGCCGACCACCATCCCCGACAGCAATAGCCTAACGAATTTCGCAGCGAGTCCCCCGCCTCCGAGCGAAGCCTAACGCCACCTCCGACACGTTCCCGCCGGTCGCCGCCTCCGCGTCGTCGGTCGCCTTCCCCGCATCAGCTGGGAAACTAGCTGGTGGGGCCAATGGAGGTACGGTCGCGGGACGGTCAGTTTCGCCAATTCTTCCTTCTGCTGTGATGTTGATGAACAAAGTGCGTGTGTGTATAGACAGTGTAGGCACTCTTGCTCTTGTAGACACTGGTGCTGCTATTTCAGTTACGAGTCTTCGCTTCAAGCATCGTTTCTTGGGCCACAAAGTAATGTTCGCGTGGGATCGTAAAGAAACTTTTCGTGGAGTTGGAGGCGAAGCGTTTGCCCTGTTCGTATTTGCTCAGTCGTACTCATGATTGGTGGACAAAATTACCGAGTTGAATTCACTGTACTGGCTCGCGCAACTCATGACGTCATTTTGGGATAGACCTCTTTCATGAATGCGGTGCTACGCTTAACTGTGGAACTGGAAAGATTCTTCTACAAAGTACGTTGCCCACTACCACAGTTGACAATTTCCCAACTATCCTCATTGATGCGCTTTTGTTGTCTGAAGATGTGACGATCCCTGGTCGGGCAGCAATGCTAGTTCCTGTATGCTCTTCTCGCGTCCGCTCAGAACCCTGCACTGGGCTTGTTAAGCCCGATCATACAAACGCCATCAAGAAGAATGTGCTGGTCCCATGGTCTGTCCTAACAGCCATCTACGGACATGATTGTTTGTGGGCGCTCAACTCAGCATCAGAACCTGTTGTCCTACCAGCCGGATTTAAACTGGGAACGTTTGAGGAGCAGGCCACAGTTGACGTCAAAATGGTCTCAGAGTCTCCAGCCATCAATCAGACTGCGCCCAACTACTAAGCCGAGATGAAACACATGATCAATAAGTCGTTGCCTTCTTCAGAGCAGGATGTCCTCGAGGAGGTGCTTACACGCTACGCGGGAGTCTGGTTTCGCTCAAGACAAGCGTTGTTCCATGTGTACCGAATCCCGTATGCACCACCGCATCAACACGGGAGATGCTACACCGATACGCCAGAAACCCTATCGCGTATCTCCGTCAGAGAGGAAAGTGATCGCCGATCAGGTCAACGACATGCTGCAGAAAGGCGTTATTCAAGGGTCAAGCAGTACCTGGGCAGCTCCTGTTATATTTGTAAAAAAGAAAGACAACTCTTGGCAATTTTGTGTCGACTACCACCGTCTCAACGCCGTCACAAAGAAAGACATGTATCCGCTACCACGCATCGATGACGCTGTTGATTGCCTGCACTCGGCCGCATACTTTTCGTCCGTCGACCTAAGGTCTGGATACTGGCAGATACCAATGCATCCGTCTGACAGAGAGATGACTGCTTTTATCACGCCTGATGGATTATTTGAGTTTAACGTCATGCCGTTTGGCTTATGTAATGTCTAGCCACTTTCGAACGATTCATGGACTCTATCCTTCGCGGTCTCAAATGGGAGATATGTATTTGTTATCTCGATGTAATTATTTTTGGCAAGACATTCCACGAGCACAACCATCGGCTTAGCGTTGTTCTAGATTGCGTCAAACAAGCTGATCTCGTTTTAAACGCAAAGAAGTGTTGTTTTGGTGAGCTTCAAACCCTTGTGCTCGGATATCTAGTCGACAGGGACGGTATACGGCCATACCCGCAAAAGATCAATGATGGCCGAGATTTCAAGCAACTAACCTCTGTGAAGGATCTCCGAAGCTTTGTGGGCCTGTGTTCTTATTTTCGCCGGTTCATCAAAGACTTCACCCAGCTTGCTCATCCTCTGACAGAGTTGCTCCACAAAAACGCCCCATTCTAATGGACCATTGAGTTTGAGGCTGCTTTCGAGCAGCTGAAGTATTAGCTTACTTCCGGGCTTTCTTGCGCCATTTCGACCCGGAGGCACTCACGGCATTACATACAGATGCTAGTGGTATCGGTGTTGGTGCCGTGCTAGTTCAGTATCACGATAGCCGACAGCATGCCGTGGCGTATGCAAGTCGTACTTTGACTAACGCGGAGAGGAATTCTGCTGTCACAGAACTGGAATGCCTTGCAGTTGTTTTCACCGTCCAAAAGTTCAGACCTTATTTGTACGGCCGGCAATTCAAGATCGTCACAGATCATCATTCGCTTTGTTGCCTGTCGGACTACGTGACCCAGTTGGTCGGTTAGCTTGCTGGGCCTTACGGCTTCAAGAATATAATGATTCTGTAACCTACAAGAGCGGTCGATGTCACACAGATGCCGACTGCTTATCTCGTCTTCCATCTGCGACTGTGGATGCTGATGATGATGATTTCGATAACTACCTGGCTGCAATCTCCTCCAACTTCCCGAATTCAGACACCTTCCGTCACGAGCAACAGCGTGACCCTTCGCTGAAACCAATTATCGATGTGGCTCGTAGCTCCAAACGCGCCACGCCATTCATCATTCATGACGCCCTATACTATATCACAAGAATTACTCCAGCCACGGTTCCACACTACTACTTGTCGTGCCAGAATGCCTGCGTCTTGCGGTATTCCAAGCCATGCACGATGACATCACGTCTGGGCACCTTGGATTTGCCCGAACGCTGTACCGTATGCAACGACGTTTTTACTGGCCTCGACTCTGGAAGACTACCATACACTACGTCGCAAGTTGTGATGTCTGCCGACGCCACAAACAACCTACCACATCATTGGCCGGCCATCTGCAACCGGTTAAGCCACCAACATCACCATTCGAAAAAGTCGGCATAGATTTACTGGGCCCTTTCTCCAAGTCTACCACCGGCCACCATGAATTATTGTGTGCGTAGATTACCTGACACGGTATACTGAAACGATGGTGGTTGCTTCAGCCACATCATCTCATGTGTCATCGTTTCTTCTGCGCCCGATTATACTCTGTCACGGGGCCCCTCGTGTGGTGATAAGTGATCGCGGCCGGCAGTTTACTGCTGACGTTGTCGAAGAGTTGCTACGGCTTTGTGGGTGCCAGTATCGGCATTCCACGCCATATTACCCTCAGACCAACGGCCTCACTGAGCACACCAATCGTACCATCATCAACATGCTTTCAATGTTCGTCGCGGCGGATCACAAGAACTGGGATGCCGTATTACCTTTTGTTACATACGCCTTTAATACTGCGAAACACGAGGTCTCTGGTTATACGCCTTTTTTCTCCTCTATGCTCGTCATCCTCAAAGTTTCCTTGACACCATATTTCCTTTTTTGACGAACGAAAACGCCAGTGTCGCGCAGACTTTGTGTCCCGCCGAAGAACTCGTCGACTTGCTCGGCTCCGCACTCTCTCCGCCCACGCCCGCGCGAGAGACTGTTACGACGCAAAGCACCCGCCTGTGACTTTCGCTACGGGTGATGTCGTGTGGCTGTGGACGCCCGTACGAAAGAAGGGGCTTTGCGAGAAGCTTCTTTCCAAGTACTCAGGACCATTCGTCATTACTCAGTGCTTCAGTGACGTCACTTACGTTGTAGCGAAAGTGACAGCTCAGAACCGGCATTCGCGTAAGACGTAAATGGTTCACATTTCCCGATTGAAGCCCTACAACAACCGATCGCTTCAACTCAATCGGTGAGCTTCGTCTTGCCTGGAAGAAAATGTAACGCGGACTGAAAGAGCGAAAAAGAAAAAGAGGTAGGACGCTCTCGAGCGATGCTGATTTGGCAGTGACGGTTGAGCGCTGGCATTTTCATTGTAAATAAACCCATCACATCCGTAACAATATGTTAGTTAGCTATTGGAATCACAGAATGCCTACGTAGATGCGCGACTGAAGTGAAATATCGACAGGGTGCCGAAAGTGAGCGCGTGACGGCACTGAAACATTTTATCGATGTGAAGTGGTATGATAGTCAAACAATGAATTAAGTTGTGAGCCATTGCTAGCGACACCTTCAACCACGAACCATCATTTCTTCAAGCACTAATCTGTAAATAAAGCCCCATCATTCGTAATATCAAAGTCAGAGGCGAGAATCACGAGTGTTATCTGGATGAAAACATTTTATTTTCTCCACACTAATCATACAGCGCATTTTTAAGTAGTGACTCACAATTTGTTTACAACAATGCATTCTCAAAAATCGGCCGCGCGTCTTTTTTTTATCCCCTCAAAAAAAGTTTTAGAGTCCACTAGCGCCCCACAGGACATTGTTTCCCTTGAGCTGAGAGCCTAGGTGACGCGCTTGAGCTTCAGATACTTCGAGAAGATGCTCGCTTCTAGTGGAGTGCCTTTGTGTAAAGAGGCTAATAGATGAGCAGAAAAAACTTGTTCACTTGATTGGAGAGGCTCAGACTATGTCTTTCACAGCCCAGTGTGACATTTTTTTTTTTTTCGATCAGCAAACAAGCTCTCTCAAGCTGTCACTGTGAAGCACGTTGTAGCTAAAGCACCTTGAAAAAGAGATTACAAGGGCGTCTACAAATGCACTGAGCTTCTCCGAAAGGCCTACCGAAAGGCGTCCGCACGAGGGAGGCAAAAGGGGCGGGTGCCTCCCTTCCCCCCTTTTAGTCACCTGGGAGGAGGGCACTAAATCTGCTCTGTACATTGACTAGGCGGCGGGGCACTCTTTTGGTCATCTAAAAGGCGGGCGCAAAATCTGCCTCATACACTGAAATAATAGGGAGGGGGCGCCCTGCAAAGAACTTTCAACCCCCCCCCCCTTCAGATTTGAGTGCACGTTAAAGAACCCCAGGTGGTCGAAATTTCCGGAGCCCTCCACTACGGCGTCGCTCATAATCATATCGTGGTTTTGTGACGTTAAACCTCACAAATCAATCAAATCAAATCCCCCCACCCCCCCCTGAACGGCAAGCACGCCTATGGGCCTACCCCTTTCAATGCGGACGATTTCACCTTTCACACTGAGCTCTAAGTGCCGGGAGATGTACCTCTCGTCGAAGCGCAGCTCTCACACAGCTAAGTATTCATGAAGCAGCTTGTCAGCGCGCGGAATCGCTCTCCACCACTGCGCAGAGCTTCGTCCTTTGGAATGCCGAATAACCTGACTTATAGCCTGTAGTGCACCCCGAGACGAAGCAATTACTTTGTTTTCGCGCCGTGAAAGTACATACGGAAGCATTGGTGTGAGAGTGCCACCGCAATAAAACAAAAGTCCGACGAAACTGTCGGAAACGTGCAAACAACGTATAAACGACTGTGCGCGCTCGCACGCGGCTCCTCCTCAAAGGCTTCAGTGCGCTTCATAGGCACCGCTTGCGGCTCATTACACTTCCCTATTCTAGCCACTGTACCTGAGCCAAAAGTAGCAGTACACTGAAATCCTTACCTGGTCTGCATTTCTGGTAGAGGAAGTCATCAAGGCGGAAACTTGAATGACCACTTGTGCCCCACACAGCCTCAACAATGACGCCAAACTCAACCCGTCTACCAAGACTTATTGTAACGGGCGTCCATAGTTCCTGGGCCATGTTCTTCTCGGCTAACGAGAGAATGTTCTCCACCTGAAGTGAAATGTTGAGAGGTACTGAATTGTGAACAACAGCAAAAAAGCAAAAAAAAAAAATAAAGCTCGACCCACATCAGTGAAGTCACATCTTATCCGGATCACAATCCCAGCTCTATTTCCTAAATGTGGTTACTTACTCAGCAAACATTCTATGCTACGTCTGTCTCGCACTCAAGTCTATTCTGTCTTTAAACATGCACCAAGTTTATATAGGCCTGATGAAAAATCAAATGGATATAGCACCGCATGATCTAAGAAGTGATACACCCGCATGCATCATCAAAGAATGTTCGGCGTGTTAATGAAACGTTAGAAGCGACAAGTCGATCCAAGCTACACAACGAGTACAGCCACTTGAACTGAAGTCCGAGCCTTCTCGCCTGAGGACAAAAGTTCCGCGTGTAACCGTTCTAAAGGATGAGCTCATGGATAGTAACTATGCAGGACACATAGCAATAAGAGCCCCTAAAACCGGTGCATACTCTTTTCGTGGCGTACGCGTGGCACAGCCTGACGTCAGGCAGACATTTATTTCAGTACCTTGTTTCAAGTAGTGTGCAAAAATATCCGAGAAATTGTATGACCTCCACTTTCTTGCGGGTATGCGCAGCAATCACAAGTTTTTACATGAGTAAACGAATGTCAATTAGTGATGCACGAAAGTCCAGTCCTAGCGCTGAAAATAGCGAGGCATAATCATGCTATTGACGCAATGTTAAGAAAATAAAATAATAAACTAAGCACTAATAAATGTAAGAGTTAGTGTATTTAGGCAATACTATGGAGAACACCGACAAAGGCTTATGCCCAAACTCATTAAATTACTTAGCCGTGCTCAGTCGACAGCATTGTTCTTCCCCTTTGAAACTTTCTGAAACTTCACGTGGTTTTGCACTACCTCCGTCATCGACGACGTTGAAAGATTTGGCGGTCTGTAGCATCATAGTGCTATTGATAACATCATTACAAGACTTCATTTATGCTCACAGTCTTTCAGTACCGCTTGTGTTGTCAACGCTGGACAATGGAATTTTAAATTCGTGGAACACACAGGGCTTTCACCGTAATAAACAAAATGTTATATTCAGTAGTATCAGGTCGGAGTGTTTGAATTAGTAACATGGTGACACGATAGACGGGCACTGACGCATCCACGGCCATACGAATGATTTATTGCAGAGCACACGCCCCTGAGTGAATATATAAAACCCTCTTGCACATATGCAATATGAGTGCATTAACTGAGACATTGTTCTTTATACACCGTGCCTATGTGATCAACAAGATAGAGACAACACCCGCCCTTCAGGCAAACTGTTTTATTATGTCGTGCCTCGTCCTCTCCCCCGCTGTCTAGCCCGTCGTATGTCTCAGAGCTGCGTGCCGCTCGCGCGCGTGTGTGTGTGCTTGTATGGGTGTGTGCGTGCGTGTGTGTGTGAGAGTGTGTGTGTGTGTGTGCGTGTGTGTTTATGTGTGTATGTGTGTGTGTGCGTGTGTGCGTGCGTGCATGCGTGTGTGTGTTGTTTTTATAAATCTTGCCTACGCAGAACAGAGGAGATAAAATAAACACTAATTGATTGAAATGTGGGGTTTAACGTCCCAAAACCACTATATGATTATGAGAGACGCCAAATTAAACACTAAGCTCGAAGAAAATTAACAATACTAACATTCGTATGTCTTCTATAATGCCCTTTCCTCGCGACACAGCATGGTAAAACACTGCTAAAGCATCTATTAACATGTTTTTTTTTTTTCATAATGCAAGAATATTTTGCCGCACAACAAATATATACCATACAAAAGATTGCAAACAAATCAAACTGAAATAATAAGCATTATTCTTAGCTACAATGTAGAGCATTTTAGGCTACTATGTACACACTGGACATGGGCCGGGCACGTAGCAAGTGAAAAGGAAAACCACTTGTCATTAAGGGAACCTACTGGATTCCCAAAGAGGGCGAACGCACAAAGGGTAGAACGAAAGTTAGTTGGGCCGAAGGGATTAAAACGTTCGCAGGTATAACGTGGCAACAGAAAGCACAAAACCGGGTGAATTGGTGGATCATGGGCAAGCTCTTTACCCTGCGATGCGCATAATTTGGATGATGATTACGATTTTGTCATAGCTGATTAGAACTTGGGACGGCACCTCGTGCAAGAAACAAAAGCCAGAAAGCCTTAAGGACGCTATGACAGAAAAAAAAACATCTGAAAGTTAATCTCTGCTGCTTTTTACATTTATAGAGCCCAATAGGCATGTTGTATCTTTCTGACTGCAAGGATTATATGAGTGTTCAATAACGAAGAAAACCAAGGAACCACCTGCATTGTAGCTTTCTTTATCCAGGAGCTGCAAAAATGTTGGAGCCTCTTCCCCTTAAGAACCACATTAAAGAATATGTCCTACGTTTCTTAATGTGACGGATACAGGCACCATTGAATACGCATTAATGGATAATATTTAGCACACACAAGTGCCCAATGTACTACGTCTTCAAGAGAAAATTTAGGATACGTTATTGTTCCATTTAGGTTAAAAACTATGCTATGATGAATGATTCACAAGTGACTCGCTCAAACTGCTTACAAACACGTTTAACGAAACGCAATTCTATCATCATTCAATCAGCCTCAGCGCTATGTGAAGCCCTAAAACATGGTGAAAAATTTCTTTAACTGTTAGGAACATCAATTACAACCATTTTTACTATATATATATATATATATATATATATATATATATATATGCAATTCTTCCATCATTCAATCAGTCTCAGCGCTATGTGAAGCCCTGAAACACGGTGAAAAATTTCTTTAACTGTTAGGAACATCAATTACAACCATTTCTACTATATATATATATATATATATATATATATATATATATATATATATATATATATATATATATATATATACAACGGAAAGAAGTAGATATTTAAGGGCTCGTTAACAGACTAATGCCAATGAAAACATAGGGCAGGTTATTAGACGAAATTGTAAAGTGAATGTGAAGTGAAGAAAGAAAAGTGGGTGAAAAGATAACTCGCCTTGGGCAGGAACCAATATATATATTGGTATAGGAAGCGACTGCTGTATTTTCAACACAGATCCGTGAGCCAGCAACCGAACACGCGGCGAGAGACTACGATGATGATGATCACGATAATTTGTATGCGCAGGTGAAAACGATGAACTACACAGTCAGCGTTCACACTATTTCCCCTTACACGAAAGCGGTCAGCAAGAAGCCTATTAATTAAGGGTACGAGTGTCGGATATAAGGCTTCGGGCAAGACACATGGACAATCTCAGTGCCGCGACGACGGCGATCAGAAGCCGAAGTAACCGGAGCAACGCGATAATTGACGGCTGATGTTCGTTCAAGCGCGGTGTAAGGACCCAGGTATCTATGAACGAATTTTTCACAGAGGCCGGGTGTGCTAACAGGTGTCCAGAAGAGCACTTCGTCGCCTGGGTAGAATGACACAACTCGGCGTGCGACATCACAACGAACTTTTCGCTGGGCCTGAATGGTAGAGGTGTTGGCGCGGGCGATTGTGCGGCAGTGGTTGACACGGGCAGCGAACTCTTCCGGAAGAGATGCAGATGGGACACCGAGCGTGGACAAGAAGGTGGTGTCTAGAACAAAAGATGGAGGACGGCCATACACAAGAGAAAATGGGCTGTAACTTGTAGTGTGTTGAATGGCAGTGTTGTAGGCGAACGTCATGAAATGTAGTATTGTGTCCCAGTTCTTGCGATCGGGCTGGATATAAATAGTGATTATGTCTGACACAGTTCTATGAAAACACTCAGTGAGACCGTTTGTTGGTGGATGATATGCGGAGGTGGTTTTATGAATGGTGTCAGAGGCCTGTAAGACTTCAGCGAGCACATTAGTAAGAGAGGTCTTGCCATGGTCACTAAGTTGAACACGAAGGGTGCCGTGGCGCAAGATAACGGCACGCGGAACAGTGTCTGCCACTTCGGAGGCAACGCCAGAAGGAATATCTGCCGTCTCAGCATAACGAGTTGTCACAGGTCCCTTTAATTATGGAGGCAATAGCGGGGCTAATTTTAAGGGACGAAGTATCGGCCCCCCGAACTGCACCACGAAAGCGTGGACCATTTAGAAGTGGTCCTATTTATCGTGCCAGCGGACGCCGGCTGTGGCCCAAAGAACAAGTCAGAGTCGAGAGTTGATAAACAAAACAAAATTATACTCTCAGTTATGGCAGATCAAAACGATACACAAATATGCACACACGACAATAGTTGAATACGATGTCACCAATCAAACAACGTACTACACAGTACAATCAGCCACACTCGAAACAACGGACTCAACCAACAATACGCGCTACAATGCAATCAAATGCATCAACCATAACACTTAAAGGCTAAAGAGTTCGAAAACTTATTCAGTCCAAAGTCCTTGGAACAAAGTCTGAATGATACTCTTCCAAGAATCACTCATTCAAAAATCAGCGCTGTTGTCGTTCCGCTGCCCCCGAAGTTTCTCTTCTTGGAAATCTAGCGTCTTCAATTGGCTGCTCTCTAAGCACCAAACTTTTTTGCCGGTAACACGTCGGCTTCCCACGCGCAGCTTTTGCAACCCGTCTTCGCTCACTGGCGGTAGACACACTCTACTGCTTGTAGCACGAGTCTTCACCCCTGAGGTGGAAATTCTCTTTATCTCTTCCTTTCTCACTGAGGACAAAAGGCTTCGCCGACACAGCGGAATGACCTTACGCACACTGGCGCAAAATTCCTCCTTCGCCCCCTTTCCCTTCTCCGCTGCTCGCTTAAATACCCTTCGCACTAGATTCCAGAAAATTCTACTCGTTTCGTCGGTGCGATGCACAGCCAAGGCTGAGGAAAGAGCGACATGTTTTGAGGGCCGTCCACGACACGTGACGCAACTCGGCATCACCACGCCCATTTCCTTCCAGAACCTTCCAGGGCTTGCTCAGCGGCCGATGTGAG